GTGTGTTTGTGTGGTGGCGCAACTATGGCCCCAAGCAAGCAGCTGCCACTATTGATGAGCCAACCCCTAAGTTATCAAAGAAAGGCATGAATCTGGAGGAGAAGGATCCCCTCAAGGAAGGTTCCTTGATGTTGGTGAGGGGCTCTTGAACTAGGGAATTGGATCTGTGCTCCAGTTCCCCGAATTAAGCCTGAATGCCTTCCACATCCCCCCCAGGCGCTGTATAATCCTCCGGGTTTAGCTCTTCCCCCTTGATTATAATAATAATAATGGAGGAGAAGGTGAAATTGCTAGACAAGTGTAGGGCAGGTTATTTGAGCAATTCTGCCATTAGAAATTTATTTAATGTAAACGAAAGCACAGTGCACTCTATCAAGAAAAATAAGGTAAAGATAAGGGTGGCACTAGCATTTACTGCTCCTCCCTCAGCCAAGCAAGTATCACAAGTAAGGAACAGTGCAATGTCTATGATGGAATCAGCATTATTTGTGTGGATTTCAGACCAAAATAGAAAAGAAAATCCCATAGACAGCAATGCGATTTGTGCAAAGGGAAAGACTTTGTATGATACGCTGGCTAGTGATGAGGCTAGCACCAGTGCAGAACCAGGATGTCCTACCATTATCCATCCTGACTTCCTAGTAAGTAAAGGATGATTTGATAAATTTAAGAGACGGTTCTCCCTGCACAACCTGAAGATAAGTGGAGAATCAGGTTCAGCAGATTGTTCGTGGTTCAATAGGTTAAGGAAGCAGTATTGTTAGGCTCAGTAAATGCTTTTATATTTCCCTACAATATACAGTGGACCCCCGCTTAACGATCACCTCCAAATGTGACCAATTATGTAAGTGTATTTATGTAAGTGCGTTTGTACGTGTATGTTTGGGGGTCTGAAATGGACTAATCTACTTCACAATATTCCTTATGGGAACAAATTCGGTCAGTACTGGTACCTGAACATACTTCTGGAATGAAAAAAGATCGTTAATCGGGGGTCCACTGTATTTATGCATCAAAACATTGGCAACTGCTACAATACAGTATTATAATATTTCCCTGCATTATATTTGTGCACCAAACACACACAAATTTTCAAGATGTGTGATTTTCTTGATCCCCTAACCCTCGCGAATGTAGATGGCCCCCTGTATTCCGTATATTGAGACTGAGATTATTTCTCATCACTGCATTACAAAGTATACAGTAATCAGAAAACCAAATCAAATTTCATTCCACAGGTGTTGTATGATCCATGAGGATTTAGTGTTTGCCAGGGAACAAAGAAATTATGTTTGTCCCATATCATACACTTCCTCCCTTCCTCCTACCCTGGGAAGTTCCAATGATTCACTTGCTCTTCCTCCTCAACATGCCTGAAAGTTGATACATCTGCTACAAACACACGCTGACTAACACTTTTGGTAGCATTCTCGTCCATCCTCAGATGAATTAGGGTAGGTGGCTGTCTTTCCAAATTGAGTATTGCATGGACATTTTATTACTGTCAGCCAGAATTTTCACAGCAGTTATATGCCAATCTTGTTGTAATCTTGCACATTGCAACCACGTGCAAATGCACATGACTGTGAAAATGCTGGCCGATTAGTTCACCTTATCCATCATTTCAGACTTTCAGTGTGTTACAAGCTATCCAGAAATATGACTCCATAGCCCATTGTACTTTGTATACACCAGTGGACACTTGATGTTCAGAGTAATGAATACACTCAACTGTTTAAGTCTGTTATTCATGATCTGCCAATTCCCTACAGGCAAGTTGTTTTTCCAGTAATGTTTCAAGAGACTTTGAAATTGCTGGTAATAGTGTTGTTCTTCCACATTATATGTAATTGTATTTATGGCAAGTGCTAAACCCAACTGGAAATAAAGACATTGGTAACAGAGAATCCTTTAAATATTGCAAGTTTTGTCCAAGACAGTTTTCACTGATAATTATTATAATCATGGGGGAGCACTAAACCAGTAGGATTATACAACACCTGTGGGAGAGAGATGGAAGGTATTCAGGCTCAATTCAGGGAACTGGAGCACAGATCCAATTACCTAGATGAGTCCCTCACTAGTGTCAAGGAACCTACCTTGAGGGGGTTTTATTGATAAAATATACAAGAATGAGTAAATACACAGCCTTACTAGATAACCCCATTTTGGGCAAATTATTATAATCTTAAAGGTCATATGGTGCTCAGTTTTGGGCAAAACATTGTGCGTATTAAAAAGTACTCTCTGCTACTAGTGTATTTCCACTTGTTGACTTTTGCCACCGTTTAACTCAAACCTGATTGCCTCACATTACTCTAGGGGAAGTATGACCCCTACAGGCTCATCACTCCCCTCAGTCTTTGTTTGATTGAGGTTTCTTTCGAGTCATTCCATTCTTGGGGGGAGTGCTAAACCCCTGTGCTTCATATTATGTACTAATATACAGTATTCATGGAGAAGTACTAAACCCATAAGGGTTATACAGTATCTGGGGAAATGGGAGGCTTTCAGGTTCAATCTGAGGAACACAAACGTTGGTCTAGTTGCTCAGAACAAGAGCCTCCCTCAGATTATTGTATAAATTATGCTAAAAACAAGTACTAAATGTTTGTTGGTCAAACAGCAATTACAGGAAGAATTAAAGATGCAGTATATCTGAACATTTATTTTTTTAAAATCTTTTCACTGATAGGGAAGATATATAACCCTATCCAATAATTTCTAGATATTTTAATAAATACGAAGTCATGATTTGCACTAAATCATGTACAATAAATACAATCTGCTGGATCAAAAAAAAGTATAGTTAAAAACATGAAATAATTCTAATATACAAGACTAGATTTTTTCGTTTTCAGATTGTAAAATATATGCCGAGAGACCATGCATGTCTCTGATGCTGTGTTGACTCGTGCCAGTAATGGCAGATGCTACTTGCTGCACATTTACTTGCATTACTCATTAAAAAACAGTTCTATTGGTCTGTCTCAACAAATATTTTCTGACAAGTAACACGTTCTCATATGGCGAAACATTTACCAAAAGAAGCTTGTCTTTAATACAGGAGCATATTGTCCTCTTGGCAATTTTCTACCCAAATACTTTGGGCATTAACACAATTCTAGTGGCACAAGAACGAAATTTTATTTATTTTAAACTAAAAACTAGGATGAAATCAAAATTTGTGTTTGTACTACACAACAAATCTAAGTTTGTCATAAATAGGATTTTAAGTTTATTGGCATAAATTTTTTAATATGTACTGTATGTACAAATATTACATATATATATATATATATATATATTATATATATATATATATATATATATATATATATATATATATTATATATATATATATATATATATATATATTATATATATATATATATTATATATATATATATATATATATATATTATATATATATATATATATGCAGTGACTACTTGGAGAAAAACTGAGCCAAATTCAAGAGGTAGTGAGTTGCCACCTGGCATCACCACCTCTACTTCCTGAGTGCAAGAGGCCGAAAATGACTTGACACTACTTCCGTTCTAATGCAACAGAACTGCACGTTTACTCTAGATTACAGAAATGCTGTATGCAAAGTCCACTCACATTAAATACATCAGATCCCTTACAAATCCCCTGAATGAGTAAAGGCATCATAAGTACAAGATCCTCACTATACGAGGCCACTATTATTAATCACACAATTCTGATATTTTTTTTTTAATACATTTGGTCCTTACTCCAGGCACACAAAACACTATCAACATTTGCACCGACTTTAACAAACAGGATATGAGTGAGTTGATGCAGAAGATCGTTCAGGTATGAGTAATTTACCAACGTGATAAATTATCCCCTGACCGCCTCTGCTATTTGTGGACCATACTGTGATTAAAATTGTTTTGACTGTGGTATGCTACATGAACTTTATGAACTGCTGGAATGGTCTTTCTTAATTTTGCATAATACCTAGAGACTAAGACAACCAGAATTTTAATCCATCCACTACTACTACAAGCCATTAATAACATACCCTAGTTGGCTTGATAATTTCCCAAGGTTGGCTACTCAAAATGCCAAATAAGAGTTATTAATCTAAAAGTATTCAGTTGTGGACAAAAAGTCTGGCTGGAGTGTGAAGTGACTTGGGAAACTCTGCTTTGTCAAGATCCTAACTTAAGCACAAATTCCCTTGTCACAACACAGTTTAGACTGAAGGAGATTTATCACATATAACTTGTCAGAAACAATGAAAGGCTCCTGATAAGGCAATGTAGTATTTTCTCCTCATATGGGATACAGGAAAACTAGTCATGTAACAATTTGAATTACTAGTGTTGATTAAACTAGTTAAGGCAAAGGTACACATTAACTGTACTAATACTGCGCTATCTGAACTGCCCCAAATGAACTGCCATGTTAAAAGCAGCTGCCCAACTTACGGGGTAGGGGTAAGCCTTCTCATACCTTAATCAGGTCATCTATCCAATACTTTTTTCTGCTTTCTCTTGTATGCAGTAATCAAGTAACAATTTCCATCAAGATTTGCAACATCTCTGAACAGCACACACTCGTGTGTTCATTCATCTAAAGCAACAGACAATATTAAAACAATTAAGTTTTCTGACTTTCGTTCTCACAACCTTTAGTGTACAAGCATTTAAGTTTTGTTATACTGTACAGTAGTGATAAACAAGGAATTAAAAATAAATTTTATGTTGGAAGTCCAAGGGCTTTGTAGGTCAAACCCCTTAACAGTAAACTTTGATTTATATGTTGCAGAGATAACAGTGGTATGTATCAATAGTCCCATTACACATGACCAACCTGAAAACATTACATTCATCACTAATGCATGAAGACTACATACCTGACCCTGATTTTGATTATATTAATAGCATTTACAGACTAAGAACCACTTGTTCTGTGCATATTCTTTTTGCAGTGCTCACTTCCTCCGTCTCCCCTACTCCCCTCAAATCTCCCTCTGAGCAGTGACCTCTTTTTGAAGACTTCAAATTAACATCCTCATTATCATATATTATATTAGTGCTATGCACGTTTCTATGAACAGTAATGTCTTTTTCTGTGACTTCTCTTCTCTGTACCTCCTGACTAAGCTTAGCTTGCAAGTCATCAAGAAAGAGTGTTGTGAGCTGATGTGGGCAGAGACTTGTATGGAGATGCTGGCCAAACGATGAAAGATGATCTTTAGCATCTTCCTGGGTTGTGGCATGACGAGGTTCAAGCTCTTGTCTCCAGCACCCACACTCCAACACCTTCCTGTTCGACACTGCACTGGCCTCTGTTATGCTCGTACTGAAGCTACCCAAGCTGATATCCAGGGCTGTATCTTTGAGTCCCAGTACTTTAGGCGACTGTCATACCTGGCAAGCACTGGGCACCTTTTTGACCTCCTGCCTCTGCCACTGGCATTGATGACAAGGTTTGCAATCAGCCTCAGTTTTGTCAGCCTGAAGAGCAGCCTCCCACTCGACCAGCTGACCCATAAAGTTTAGGTTGGGGGAGATGATGAGACGTCGAGACTTGACATACTTGTACGAGTCGACCATGGTCATGCGAGTGTGCTTCATGAGGTAAGCGATGACTATGGTAGGTGAGCGAGATACTCCAGCCTGACAGTGAACCAACACCCGGGCACCCGCCTGCCGAGCATCATCTGCAACATAAACAAATTTACATTAAGGCAATCAATACATACGAAAACACAATTAGAAATAGCAATTAATGTGTGCGATAAATATTTCCAGTTAAAGGAGTCGAGCTATGCTTGTGTTATCTTGTCTTCAACATTTCCGTTTTTCTTACAAATTATAAGTTTGAAGCTCATACTACCTCCTCTTTAATACTATTTCAGCTATCTACTACTATTTATGAAGGCGTACATTTTCAACCTTCTTTTTAGCACTGCCTTTTCTCTTGGTAACTGACTTGGTTCTCTCCCTGTTGACGTTGCCAGGAACCCTTTAATTATACTGAAGTTAAAATAACTAGCTGGAACAATTTACAAATAACTCACACCTAGAGAGGAATCTCTAAGCTTCCCCTTTAGTGGGTTACCTGTGAGTTAGTCTTTATCATATCGTTTTGTGTGTGTATAACTAAACGGAAAATCCCACACAAATATACCCAGTTTATAATTAATCCCTTATTAGTTAATGGGATTCTGCCACAATAAACTCTTGTAAAATTAGTATGGAGGCAACCTCCAGATCAACATGTCCAAAATTAACGCGCCGGTGGTGGGACAAAGCAATAATTATTGGCAATGGCTTTTGTTTGGCTGACAAGTCATGGACAGGCCATTGTTAGGCTCGGGGCTGCTGCCACAAGGAGTGATACTGGCATACCATCTCTTATTTTATATACTTCTTTTCAACTGTACTGGTATGTCTGTGCTACTACAGTTTGCAATGATGTATTAATGTTTGACCATCAAAATGTATTTAATTCTTAAGTAAAAACTGTTAAAATATTATCTGTCGGTACGGTCACACTCGATCGAAATCCATTACCTTGTGCTCTTGAAGAGAACATTAACCTAATGTTTCTTAAACACCGCACCCTGCACTCCCCTCCAGGGCCTCCCTACAATTGTTTTCCCCGAGTCAGAAAAGCGGGAAAGGGGAAAGGAACAAACCTACTATGCCTAACTATCAGTAACTTTAGAATAAAAAAAAGGCACAATTCCTAAGCAATTATTCCACCCACATCACCCTGTTACTGTATTGCCCCTCAAGATTAAGACGTCAAATATGAGCTAAGCTGCTGATTAAAAAAAACTAACTGATTATATAGGCAAGCCAATCTGTAATTAAATTTCATAATAGAGCAGAAATAAAAAGCTAACGATGCATTATATAAATGTCGAAAAAGGTTAATTACCGGTAAGTCAAATAAAACTGAATTGGATATTGCAGTATAAGAAACATTATTTTTTTAATTCAATGTATAAAACTATTCTTCAGTTTAAATATTAAATCGCTCTAAAACAAATATAAAAAAATTATTCACACAAAATGGCACGAGTAGCATGATTCTAAGGTATCATTTACAAAAAAAAAAATTCTTCCTTTGAAAGAATGAGTGGAAGAAAGGATAATGAGCAGCAGCTGGTGCAGCATGAAAGAAGAGATGCAATTTGCCTGGGGATTATGGCGTGTTTGTAATACTAAACCAGAATCCCACCCTTCATTGTCAACTTTATACTTATTGTCACCTGTATGAATGAAAGAAGACAAATTACTGAATGGCACACTATTACGCTCAGTCCGTCTATGTAATCGACACGAAATGTTCATTGGTCACACTGCACAGGTCATTGTGGATAGAAATGACCAAGGTTAGGTAGGGAGTTTGCAAGCATTTAAGGCAAAAACCTAAACTTACATGTGTGGGAAATTGAACCTAGGTAGCCAGGGGGAGGAAATAAACTTGCGCAATGGAGATGAAACAACAGGAATACCGTAGAGCCTCACAGGTGACAGTATGGGAGTCATCATAGTGCCAGAGAGCACAACAGTAGTCACAGCCACCGGGCGTTGAGGATTAGTGAGTCACACACTTAGTCATCCTCACGCAAGGCTGCGCTCTCCCCCTCTACCACACGGCGACTTTACCACTTTACATCACATGGGGATTGAAGACGTAGTCAACACAGGGTACAAGTGTAACATCAAACATTGAAGGGGCGGTAAAACGACAATAATAAAAGAGTAAATATAGTAACAGGCCGCCTCACACTTCAAGGTCAATATCCAGAGAGCGAAGATTCCTTGTACAGTTAACATACATGTACCTATTCCTGTGATCTGATTCTCTCTTTCATGTACCTATTCCTGTGATCTGATTCTCTCTTTAATATTAATGTAAATAACTCAGTTTACCTTATTCCTAGTATATCTCCTTTTATTGTAACTGCTTTTCACATAGCTGAGTTACTTAGCTGTTTTAACTTTTAAGGTTTAAACAATGTTACAAGGACCCGAATGGAAACAAGTCTCTGACTTTTTTAGGTTATCCTAGGTAATCTACACATATGCTGCTATGTATGATAATTTGTCACTGTTGATCCCCGGAATACCTGGAGGTTATTCCGGGGATCACCGTCCCCGCGGCCCGGTCCATGACCAGGCCTCCCGGTGGATCAGGGCCTGATCAACCAGGCTGTTACTGCTGGCCGCACGCAGTCCAACGTACGAGCCACAGCCCGGCTGATCCGGCACTGACTTTAGGTATCTGTCCAGCTCTCTCTTGAAGGCAGCCAGGGGTTTATTGGTAATTCCCCTAATGCTTAATGGGAGGCTGTTGAACAGTCTTGGGCCCCGGACACTTATGGTGTTTTCTCTTAGTGTACCAATGGCGCCCCTACTTTTAATTGGGGGTATTTTGCATCGCCTGCCCAGTCTTTTACTTTCGTAGGGAGTGATTTCTGTGTGCAGATCCAGGTAGACCTATACATGAATAAACTTACTCAAGTCACCATTCATCCCATTATATTACCATCAGATGTACATAGGCTATTACTGTATGTTAAGTCTGCCTTTTATTTTAATATTCCCAATATTTGTTATCAGGCGGTGCTGTTAAACAAACTAGGCCTAAAATGAATCTAGCACTATCAATTATCAGTCGTGGTGACCACAATAAATGGCACAAGATTTGTAGAAAATTCAGGAAATTCTTATAAGGTGGGGGGGGGGGACAGCAGTCAGTCAAGTAAATGAACTGGTAACCAAGACAAAGAAAGCAAAAACACATCAGCTGAAACACCCTAAAAGACATTACATATATACGCCAAACCTGCACTTTTAGGCCTACTCCAAACTAACTGCAAATATTAAATCCTTTTGGCCACCCCATCATCGCCGTTAACTAACACATGGCGTAAAGCTCTAAACAATGAATGGATCAGCCGGCCCCGGATTATCAATGGTCAGAGCCACCTCACCATCCCTCTCGCCTCTCGGCTTCCCTCTAAAGATCGCCCCTCCCCCCTCCTATTATTTCTGAACGCCCTCTCCTCTTCCCCCCCTTTCCTTCATCAAAACATTTCATTTGCTAACACGGGTTTTCAATCCGGATGTCGCACGCTCTAGGGATTCCTTAATCAACAGGAATAAAAATATGCAATTTTCACAACAGGCGCTATGTGACCCTTTTAGGTTTAGAGCTTCCCTAAAAAAGTAATAACTGTTATCAAGACAACGCTAAACCCGAGGGCGTAGTACAAGAAAGCCGAAATTCATCTACAACTCCAGTGAGCGCAATGTTCACAGAAGAACAAGGCAGTCCATTCCGAGAGTTAAAGTCTGTCATACACAGGCCTCAATTATATCTTACCCAACCAACGTTCCAGTCTCCCTACGTGACGAGAAAAAAAAAATACTGCGTCCGAAAACGTGAGATGACTGAAGCTTTCACCGACACCAAGATGGTGGGGTTGGGGGCAAAAACTGTGGAAGATTCTTCAATTAATAGGTATTGGCAAGCACAAAACAGTTAACTTTACAGAGGTCGAATACTGATAAAACTGAACTGTTGAATACTAGGTTGTAATAAGCGTGACTTGGCAGGTGTTCTGGGCTGCATGTGAACCACCCCGCCCATTCATGACTCATCTCCACAGCCCTACTACCTGTTGCATGCTCTTCTCCCTCGTTGCCCTACGCAACACCTCTCAGGTTTCCCGTATATTTCACGTCTGATTTGTTATTGTTAAATACTCTCAGCACATCAGGCAAATTATGTTTTTGCTTTCAAATCTATATTAATGACACATAAGAATTAAATGCGACGAAAGTGCTCTTGCATGTATTACAGAAACAGCAAAAGATAACAGCAACAAGTTGGATATGTATATATCACAGAACGATTGGAGCTTGAACCCATGGCAGGCAAGTCCTAAAGTTCACATGTGTGTGTGTATGTATATATAAATATTATTATATAATATATATATATATATATATATATATATATATATATATATATATATATATATATATATATATATATATTTCTTTCTTTCAAACACCGGCTGTATCCCACCGAGGCGGGGTGGCCCAAAAGGAAAAACGAAAGTTTCTCCTTTTGCATTTAGTAATATATACAGAAGAGGTTACTAGCCCCTTGCTCCCGGCATTTTAGTCGCCTCTTACAACACGCATGGCTTACGGAGGAAGAATTCTGTTCCACTTCCCCATGGAGGATATATATATATATATATATATATATATATATATATATATATATATATATATATATATATATATATATATATATATATATATATATATATATATATATATGTCGTGCCGAATAGGCAGAACTTGCTATCTTGGCTTAAATAGCAACGTTCATCTTGCCATATAGGACAAGTGAAAATTTGTGTTTGCAATAATTTCGCCAAAATCATTCAGAACCTAACGAAAAAAATATATTTCACTGTGTTTGTTTAGTATTAAATTATTGTAAGCAAATCTAAAATATATTTACTCGGGTTAGGATAAAATAAATTACTCTTGTTATAATAAGGTTAGGTAAGTTTTCTAAGATTCTTTTGGTGCAAAATTATAAATTTTTACATTAACATTAATGAAAAAAATATATCTTCAAACGTATAAGAGAAAATTTCAGAAAGGAATTAATTTTAATTGA